GTTGATACAAATAGGGGTTTGACTTCCGATTACATTTTTTTTTAGATTTTTACGCGGAGTTTGTGACATCTGTTTATTTCGACATTGCTGGTATTAGATCATATTCTATTACCGGCATCCATTTTTTTTTCGAAAACATATAGGAGTATTCGCGCGGAGATTCAAATTTCGAAAAATCGTTTGAAAAATGTTTTGATGACTGGAATATTCACTGGCGTAATCTCTTAAGGTGGGAACTGACCAAAGTTACGAGGTGTAATGTAGCATTCGCATCGAGCGTGTTACGCATCGAGCATGTTACGCTGTGTTCTAAAATCGGCGTAACATGCTCGTCAAAACTCTGTGCTCCACTTTCGCCGCCAGTGTTCACGAGATAGTGATAATGTTGATATCTTTCATTCTATTTAATTATTGTTTCATCCAAATTAAGAAGAAGAAAAAATGTTACTGGACATAAAACTTATTTAAAAACACAGGCGTATGATGTGGTTTGTTATTGATTGCAATATTAAAAACCAAATGATTACTGGACAGTATAAAAACTTTGTACGCAGGTCTCGATTTTGAAGAACTGTTGAATTTAATTGGACCAAAAGTACTTAAAAAAGACACAATTTATAGAAAAAACGAGCGGCTCGTTGCTCGCTGGTTTCCCCGTAACACGCCGTACTGACTGCACGTATGCTCGCTGTGTAACGTGTTACATTACACCTCGTAACGTTGGTCAGTTCCCACCTTTAAGGATAATGTTTTGATGGCGATAAAACAAATTTGGATGAATAACATTGTAGGTACTCTTTCTTAACATAGGCTTATGCGGCTTTTCTACGCTAAGTAATATTATGGCAGTCTCAAATAAAACTAATTGAATGTTATATTGAACAAATAATAATCATAAATTTTCCTAATCAATTATATTCATTAATAATAATGGTTTATATTCATAGGAGGCTATTATGAGACATTTATGTATGTATAAATTTAGAAGTTAATACAAAGGTTTAAATTGAAGGTTCATTTGTGTATTTATATACACATAAATTGTTTAATAGATTGTTGGCATCGAATATTCATTATTTTCCTTTCTAAATACTAAATTTCAAGAAGGCATTAAGTTTTCTAATATAATAAGGTCTCAATTTAGCTGTGAACCATATTGAATCTTGCGTAAAGGAAGTTTTTTTTCAACCACAATGGGGTTGGTAATGGGGCAAATTTTCTGCGAAGAAACCGTTCTTTGGTATTTTTTTTTCTAGGCAATTAGGGTAACGTTTTTATCGTCCGGGATTATCGGGACGAAGATTGGTTGTGAAAAATTATGTAATGCTGTTTTACCGTACAAGCTTGTGTTAATTACGGATAAAGAAAATAATAGCTATTTATAAACCACCGAGATTCGAACCTTACAATGTCCCTTTGAGGATCGCATAACTATTATATATTAATGTTAATGACATGTTTAATAATAAAACTTATTTATTTTATACATAGCGCTTAATCACCTGCATCATGAGCACACCCCGCATACACCCTCACATTCTCACCATCATACAACACAGCCAAATTATTACGTATTTAATCATTTTTATTAATTTTTCTTTTCGTAAATGTTTTAACTTTTTTGTATATATTATGTATTGTAATATATACAAAAAGGCTATATCTTTAGTGTGACTGTTATTTGTTGTATGTCTATAATTTATGTTTGCTGTAGGATTACGATATAAATATTGAAATAACCTTATTTTATACAATTAAATGAACTTAACGCTACTTCAATAAAATCATCAATATAGTCCATTTTTACTTCGATAAAATGTACACTTTAATATATAGAATGTGCGAATGAAATAAATATGTTAAAGACATTAAAAATTGCATAATTCTATGAAATTCTAAATGCAAATAATGTATTGAGTTTTATAATCTAATCTTTTATTGCCACGTTCTAAGGAATAATCTAACAATGGTCACAACTGGTTTTATTGCAGCCATAGAGTTAGATAAGACAAAGTAGAGTCGGGTGCACTATGGTATTGTACAATGACGTGCAATCAGCGCCCGCCCGTTCCGTCATTGCCCGCCGAAGGCCTATCGGCACGTCCGCTTACCACAAAGCCCCACAATAAACTTTTACAACTCACATAAAATCCTGACTTTTTAACCCGAGTTATTTGAATTAATATCAATTCGGAGTTCCTCAATGGGCTTTACTCGTCAAACTCTAAAGTTTTATGACAACTATATCGGAATAAAATTTAATTGAAATGTAGGAACCAAAAAAGTTTTGATTGCCGTTATCGGCTACCGAATTTGAATATTTACATTCAATATTTAGGGAATTAATTGAGTTGGACATAGATAGAATTCCTTGTCAAGGTGTGTGTCATATAAAAGAATTAAACGTGCGCGCGCCGACAATTTTAATGATAGCAACATTGTATTATTGCCATAAATCTTTAACAATTGTCTTGAAAATAATAAAGATTATAATTGCAAGCGTATATAAAAAACCTTCCTATATATTTTTGTATTGACACCTGGTTCCAAAATATGTGTAGGTAGCAGTTTTATACTCACAATGAAGATGGAAAATCGTATTTACGATCCCAAGGCAATCAAATTATTGTGTCAATAGTAGAAAATTATTTTTATTTGAACATCCAAACCTTATTGATTATGTTGCGTTGACATTAGTCTATTGTTTGATTAATATATCAAGGCTGGCGGTTATATACAAGCCAAGTGATAATAAAATTTCAAGTTTGAAACTGCGATGACGCAAGACCATTAAAAATACTTATTTGAGTTTTTCGGCATTCCGTTCGCCTCTCCGGCCTTCATTACGCAGTCGTTCTGCAAACTCCGAAATTGGAAAAGACAACACTATATTGTTTCAATTTTAGTTCTTGCATTTGATAATTAGCACCTCCCGCTTCATATTCGTGTAGCAACTGGGACAATTGCGTCTCAACATTATTGCATATCTTCGTCATAAAACTCCAATCACAAGATCCTTTAGACGTAAGCTTTGGGGCTATTCGTTTTATCTTTGATATTTTATAGTATCTGTAAAACGACGGCACTAAGAGATGATTAAACGACATTCCACGTGTTCAAATCTGGGCGAACTCCGCTTATTGATATTTAAATTGAGGTGCCCGTGCTTTATGCTAGGCGGTATGTTTTGTGAAGATAGGTAACTAGGATCAATAGTCGTACAGTGTATTTAAGTTCACCATTAAAAAGAAAATGTTCGCAATTCATCTATACGACTCAACTTTAATATTTATACCTTATGGAGTCGTAAAACGATGAATAATGACGCTGCAGACGAGTTGGCTAGTGCTGTAATTACTTTGCTTTATACTTAGCTTCGTATCTAGTCTTTTTGTTGTAATACTTTAGTCATACTTATATTTAGCTAAACGTAAATTTATTGTTCCTTGAATGTAAATATAAATAAATCAGTGGCGGTACAACCTCTTTAGGTCTTGGCCTCAGATTTCTGAATCTGTTCCATGATCATTTTAAAATCTAATAGGTAAGTAGGTGATCAACCTTCAGTGCCTGACACACGCCGTCTACTTTTTGGGTCTAAGACATGTCGGTTTCCTTCACCATTCGAGCAAATGTTAAATGCGCACATAGAAAGAAAGTCCATGGGTGCACAGCTGGGGATCGAACCTATGACCTCAGGTATGAGAGTCGCACGCTGAAGCCACTAGGCCAACACTGCTCTGAATGTAAATATATCGTTTATTAAAACCTAAACATAACAATATTAGGTATTGATATACAATTTTTTATCGCTAATATTTAATATTTTTATTTCATATTTACAATGAAGTATACAGTATTTACATTTTTTTTGTGTGTATTCTCCTTAACAAAAATCTTAACATGTCTAAAATGGAAATGGGCAGATCGTATTGCTAGAGCGCGGGATAGAAATAACGAAATGGACTGGACCTACTGGAAAGAGATGTATAGGACGACAAAGGAAAAGATGGACAGATGACATTGTAGAACTAGCGGGGGAAAACTGGTTGAATGTTGCTCAAGACAAAGAGAAATGGAAAAATATGGAGGAGGCTTTTACCCTAAAAGGGGCCATACAAAAACTAGACCACTAAAAAATTTAAAATAAATCTAACTTAAATTTTTTTTAAAACTCATACTAAATTAACTAATACTAATATTATGGAATGTAAAGTAACCAATTGTTGTATGGATTAATAAAGCTTTAATAATAATAATAATAATACACTATTTACAATTTTCTTAGCCTACAAAGTAATTCAAAAAAAAATTCAAAACAAATTTAAAAGTTTGATCCCTGTGGCAGTGAACATATCAATTAAATATACAGTACAAAGTAACTAACATACTATATTAAAATTAATTAAAAATTAAAGTAAACATCGGCTGACCGTGGTTCAATGTCCTGTTATACATTTTAAAATAGCGATCATGAATGGTATATAAAGAAATGTATTATATCTTTTAATGATTTGAAAACTAGTGATTTTCATGATGCCATATCATAAAACTTTCCGCATTTTCTAGCAATGAGGTAAATCTTATTGTAATATACAAGGAAATTGTGTATTATATAGAAGGTTTTAGAAATAAAGAAGCTAAGCGCAAAGGCTACTTATAAAACGCTTTATCATTAATTTGAGATTTCTAATTTTGACAAATACATCATTTGAAATGTATCTAAGAACAGAAATGATTTGTATTGAATTCAATCTCTAACTATTTGCAATGGCAGCGGCATTTCAGAGGAGAAGTCGGTCAAACTATAAGAGCAGACGTTCTTCTCGAACGTCACTACTGGGGGGGAGAATGACGTCAGAGCTACCAGGCTAGCCAAAGAGCTCAGTGGAGGGGGAGGTAACGCTCATGATCCTCCATTTACTCAAACTGTACTTGAAGATGCAGTCGTTAGCTTTTACCCGTTGAAGACGGACTGTAGACATATATGTCGGTAGGTATCAGTGCATCTTCCGACATATATCTCCGGAGTCGTCGTCGCCCGGACCCGGTGGGAGACCAGACAACCAGTAGGTCTGGTCTGGTTTAAGTAAATAATGTCTCTTGCCCTTGTCCCCGAGAGGAGATTTGACGTTCCCCTGTTGCATAGCTTCTAGTCCTGATAGCCTGCCTGATAGGATATTAGGAATTATATGGAAACCCTATTTGATAATTCTGACAATGTCGTCAACCGAAAATAACTTTTTTTTTTATACGCCTTTATCCCACACTATTCTGTTGAAGTATACTTCAACATTGGTTAATCGCTATTTGAAAATGTTGTGGTCAAAACTAAAATCTCCCGTAAAGAAAATCAGGACATTGAACCACGGTCAGCCGATGTTAATGAGAACGATAAACACTAGAGGATCGTGTACCAAACTTACAAAAATGTTTGTGTTGGCTATAAGTATTGGCTCAGTGAAACTGAGTTTCGATATAATTAATGTTGGAAGGAAAGGATTTTAATTTTACATTTAGTAGGGGACAAACTAAATACAATTACTGCGTAATTAGAGTGCTAAATCATATTTTCCGCAACTGAGTTTTTAAGGCAGTACTTGCCGCGCACCACCCCTTTGTGGAAACAGCTGCCCACTGAAGTATTTAAGAACCAATCCGACTTAGCATCTTTCAAGAAAAGAGCGTATCAGTTCTTAAAAGCCGGCAACGCACTTGTGAGCCTTCTGGAATCGAGAGCGTCGATGGGCGGCTTATCATCCTGCCCGTTTTTTTCATGTTATATAAAAAAAAATTAAAAAGTCGCGTACTAAAATTCGCAATCGTGTTTAGATTTATAATCTTGAGGTTTAATGGACGATTCTGAATCAGTATTTTTTGAGAGCTATACTCTTTATTTAACCCACAAAATACCTTTTGATTTGAATTATATTAAATATAATTTTACCCAGAAGATACATAAGCCAATTGAATAACCATAGGCAAAAAAAAGTTATGGAAGTATATTAAGAAATTGTTTAATCTGTATTTAATAAAATAGTACTAGAAATTAAGAATTATGTACATAGATTTTTCGAAAGTAGGACTAGAAATTGGTATTGATTTAAATATTCTAATAATCAAGTATTACACATGAAATGTAATAACGTTTATGGGCTGTACCCGGAAAAAATATACAGTCTTTGAATATTTAATACTATGTAAATATATAATATTATTCATATATTCTCCTTGTTATCTAATTTATGAATTCATGTAATGGTTGCTAAACTTAATATTAAAACGCACAACATTTTTAAAAAGTAAAATAAATCAGTGGCGCTACCACCTCTTTAGGTGTTGGCCAGAGATTTCGGAATATGTTTCATTATTATTTTTAAATTTAATAGGCAAGTAGGTGATCAGCCTCAAGTGCCTGACACACGCTGTCGACTTTTTGGGTGTAAGACATGTCGGTTTCCTCACGATGTTTTACTTCACCGTTCGAGCGAATGTTAAATGCGCACAAAGCGCTGGCAGCATTTCCTCGCTGTATTGCGATACTTAATCGTTGAACGAGGAAAGCACCAGTTCTGGGGTCACCGGCACAATCTACCAGGAGCCAACTTAAATCTATAATTAGCGCCTGTGCATTTGAACCCCACGGTCCAAGAGTCTCACTCCAAAGTTGGAGGAAAGACGCTTATATTTTTGCCGTTTATTATTTTCTTCCTGCTCTGCGGCCGCTCCAGGCTTTAATCTTGTTCGAGGGAGGTAAGACGGGATAACATATCTTCACAAGTAGCATCCCATTCTGAGGCCCATCCCATCCTCCATGGGATCAAAGACAACCCATCTGGCTGTTTGCCATTGTCCGCAGCGATGCCTGTTGGCTCCAAAATGACTGGATTGACGCGAAAGACGACCTGCAAGGCCATGGCTATTCACTTCAATGCCACACGGGGACTAATATGAATGAATTAATTAACAATGAAATGTGAAGACTGAATGCCGTTGTTTTCATAATTCTATCAACATCAACATTCTAGAAGTTTCTAGGTAAAAATCGATGAAAACTTTTCCAATGTAGCATATACTACATATTCTATTCATTTATATTGAAGTTAGCGATTGATGTGGAGAAGTCAGTAGTGTTTCTCCTAGTTAAAGTTGTCAGAGGTCGACGTCTGTAAACTATGAATCGATTTGCTCACAGCAAAAACATTCGTACTCCCTATATGTCACGCTACTAAAGTTACAAAAAAGCCGTGAAATTTACGAAGCATGCATAAATTTAAACTGAAATATGCGCTACCCTTAGTCTTGGCATTGAGTTTCTTGTTAAATCTTCTTTATAGGCCTTCATCAGTGTCGCCTGACGCTCTTCGCCATCAACTCTCCATAGGCATCACGTCTCTCAACGACTCTCAAATCGTGCAAACCACTGGGTTAACAGACGCAAAAATGTTGTCCAAGATTTCTAACTTTCTTTTGTTTTTCTCTTGCTCACTACAATTGCTGTATTGCACTCGAAGCAGCTTAATTTACTTCAGCTTAAATTAAACAATTATTTTTGGTTTAAAAATGTTGTCTAACATGAATCTCTTTTTAGATATGGCGGCATCTCATATTCTTAGTGCTGTGGAACCTACGGTTGGGGGAGGCGGTACACGAGGTGGGCGTGAACGGGAAGTCAACGTTGCCCTTGATGACCGGGACCTGTGGGTTCGATTTCAGACGCTCACCAATGAAATGATTGTTACTAAAAATGGCCGGTAAGTTTTTATTAAATTACAATATTGTATACAAATAGCCAATCCATTATAGCTTTATAAAGCGAATCTGCATTGGCGCTTTAAAAACAGCGCCGCATTCTCCAACTATGCATACATATATTTATTTCCAACACACGAATATACAGCAATAATCTTAACCTACATATTAATAATAATGAAAATAAAAATAAATTAAAAAAGTTTGGTCCCTGTGGAAGAGTACTTTTAATGCTGGCAGCAGCCGTACATCTCGCCGTATTGCGATACTTATTCGTTGAGCAATATAAACACCAGCTCTAGGGTCTAAAATAAACACACAAAACAGCAATTAAATTAAATTATTGGATTAACTAGAAACTCGTCATCAAATAGTACAATTGATTCAAAACCATAGACATTTGTATTGGGTTTAAAAAGCTTGACAAGAAAAGCATTTTTGACAATATCATGAATCACACTTGCCATAGATCTACACAAATATATAAAATCGAAAACATTGTTGCAAACAATACGTTTTCAATACACTGTGCGTGTACAGTATGTATATAGGTAATAAATATAGCAATGTTTATTGATATATAGGTAACATAAACCACAATTTAATGGTTATTGACTAATCAACTTTGTTAATATTTATTACAACAAATTTTTAGTCTGTGCCGTTGTTATGTTGTATGCATATGTTTCATTGTTTTTTTAATGTTTGTGCCTGCCTGTAATAGGCTTGCTGTGAATTGAAAAGTTCGTTTATCTATGAATTGAGATAAATATCTCATATTGTTATTCCACAAATGTGGTAGAGTTCTTTTTTTAAATATAATAAATTTATTTTAATTAAAATATTAAGGGACTAATTGATGATAATAGACCTGTAATCACGAGATATTTTTTTTAAATATTTAAATTTATCTTTTAATAAAAGGCAAGCGCCTTTTGTGGCTGTACTACAAAAACGGTAACTAAATATTTTCCCCCATATTTATAAACACTGGAACAGTCCAGTTGCATCATTAAAGTACTGTCTCTTTTTATCACAGGGTAAACACCATTTGACAGAATGAAACGCATTACAAAGATCAATTTCGCTGTCAGGAAAATTGTTATTGTATATGTTGAGTTCAATTCTAGGGACTGCGTAGACAGGTTGTCTGGAAGAATCTGTATTATTATACAATTTTCGTATACAGTCGAATAATCTCTATTAACTAAACATCAACAATAATTTTATACGGATTTTAAGAAAACTCTTAATAAATAATTAAATTTAGTAACTATTGTGAATTCAGTCAGTGTAACAATATACAAAATGTTAATGGCCGTCTATTAGACTTGGTTCTGAGCAAAGGTAGGGGAATGCAAAGCGTTGGGGTGTGTGAGATGGATGAACCTTTAGTACCTGTAGACGATCAGCATCCACCGCTTCTTGTGTGCGTGCGTCCACGCGTTTGGGCGGTTTCTTCAAGGGATGATGCGGCAAAAACGGGTGAGCGCTTGTTGCAGTGGAATTTTAAGAAAGCTGATTTTAATGCATTGTATTCTAAGGTTAGAGAAGTGGATTGGTCTGATGTATACTCGTCTGATTTAAATCTGAGTCTCAATTGCTTCTATTATAAGTTAAACTCTGTGTTTGAGGAATGCGTGCCAAAAAATTCCAGGAACCTAGGATACTCAAGGTATTTATATCCAAAATGGTACACAAAGGAGGTAATTAAAAAAATTCAACAAAAAGCCACGCTGCATAAGAGATACAAGGTCACTAAATCCCCAAGAGATTACAAAGAGTTTAGCTGTTGCAGAGCTGAAGTCAAGAAATTAATTGCATTGGCTCTTGAAAATTATACTAAGGCTGTTGAATCAAATGTGATTGAAGATCCCAAGTCATTCTGGAGATTTATTAATAGTAACAGAGTCAATAGAGAACCATCAGGTATTATTGAGAACGGAGAGGTACTACCGCCGGATAGGAGTGTTAAAGCATTTGCCGAGTATTTTAGCTCTGTTTATGTTACGCAAAAGCCAAAGCTCGACGTCAGCGCAGCTGTTGCCGGAGCGGGGTGTTCAAACGGGGCTGCAAGAGTCCACGTTGGGAGCTTACAGTTAAGCGATATACAGGAGGCACTTAAGCGACTTAAGCCAAAAAAGGCAGCAGGCCCGGACGGTATACCGCCTTATATCTTGAGAGATTGTGGCGTTGTACTTGCTGAACCACTGCTACACATATATAACCTGTGTCTGAAAGCAGCAACATTTCCCACATGTTGGAAAAGCAGTCGGGTAATTCCAGTTCCTAAAGTAGGATGCCGCGATAAAGTAGAACAGCATAGGCCGATAGCTATATTGTCAAGTCCGGCGAAGGTGTTGGAAACGGCACTTCAAAAGTGCATACTTAATCAAGTGAGTTCTCAACTCTCAGAAGCTCAACACGGGTTTCGGTCTACGAGGAGTACCACTAGCAACCTCTTAAATTATATGGCTAATATTAGCCCAGTAGTGGATAGTGGAAAGCAGGTGGACGCTGCCTATTTCGATATTAAAAAAGCGTTTGATTTGGTCGATAACGACGTGCTTTTGCAGAAGTTTGCACAGGTAGGATTCACTCCACACTTATTGAACTTCATGGCTAGCTTTATGGAAGATCGAACGCAATACGTGGAATACGCTGGGTGTAGGTCAGAAGCTTACTTTACGAGATCAGGCGTGACACAGGGCAGTAATTTGGGACCGATGGAATTTATGATAATGCTGAATGACCTACCAAAAGTTGTCAAGAATGCAAAGTGCTTGCTCTTCGCTGATGATATCAAACTTTACATGCCCATAGAAAGTACAGACGACTGTATGCGGCTGCAGGAAGACATTGATCGAGTGGTAAATTGGAGCAGGAGAAATAGATTAGAGTTTAATTTGGCGAAATGCAAAGTCATATCTTTCTCGAGAGCACGATTTCCCACTCGATACAATTATACTATTAGTGGTCTAGTGTTAGCTAGAGTATCGGAGGTTAAAGATCTAGGAATATATTTTAATGCCAATCTTGGGTTTGCGCAACACGTCGATAAGACTTGCAAAAAGGCATACAGAAATTTAGGGTTCATATTGCGAATAGCTTGTGGCTTCACAAATATCAATGCGATTAAAATCTTATACAATGCGTTAGTCAGAAGTCACTTGGAGTGCAATGCAATGGTGTGGGCCCCATATGAGGCTAAATACAGTCTCATGCTAGAGCGAATACAAAATAAATTCACCCGGTACCTCTACATGAGACTGTATGGAGTGTATCCTTTGTATCCACTTATGTACCCGACCCTGTTTGTTCTGGGTATGGTGGGATATGACCAGCTACGCCTCAGAAGAGAGCTAGCCTTGTCGGTGTATATATTTAAGATACTTACGGGTCGGGTTCATAATCCGGACATAATGGAGAGACTGAGTCTACGGGTACCAAGTAGAAACCTGAGGCGGAAGTCTCAACTTTTGGATGTACCGCGCGCACATTCCAACTTGGTTAGCGAAGCACCACTCACGCGAGCAATACACATAATAAATAAGATTTCTATTAAGGTAGACTTATTTGTTTGTACACTGGCTGAGTTCACAATAGTTGCTTCCTATATTATTAGTTATAAGATTTAGGCACATAAATATATTTCTGTTAATGTTTTGTATTTAGGTTAATTGGTGTGGGTAAAATATTCTTTTGTTCTATCGAATTAGTTATCACTGTAAAGGTAGAATAATTATATGGAAATAAATAAATAAATAAATAAATAAATAATTAAATTGACTTTGTTTACAGTACCTAATTGCTACTATAAGGTTTAAGTAAAAAACCTCTTTAGTACTCAATATGATATCTGTATTTATATATTACGTAAAATAATAAATATGCTAACTAAATATACTGAGTTTAAAATGCCTCTGTACAAATGAAAATTTCCAAAGACAGTTGAATGTCGGAACAAATAACCTCATTCAAATTTTAATCGTACGATACATATAGTGTACATATAGGTACATTTGCGAGTGCTAACAGGGTGCTGAGGGGCGGCTAGTTTTCAGCTATTAGCACTGTAGGTCTTGCTCATTAGCGCAGGACTTCTAAATGATACCGCCCGACTATGACGCTGCAACCCGTGACGATACTCTTCATTAAATCATTGAATGAATCTTATAAACATTATGGCAGAAGCCATAGGTTGGTAAAACGAAAACTATAGAATTGTATTGATGCTAAATTTGCACTATATATAAAAAATTCTCGTGTCACAATGTTCGTTCCAATACTCCTCCGAAACGGCCCGACCGATTCTTATGAATTTTTTATGCATATTCAGTAAGTCTGAGAATCGGCTACTATCTATATTACAAACCCCTAAGTGATAAGGGGTGTTCACCCCATATTTTTTATTTTTTTTATTTTTTTCAGAATACAAAAATACATACAACCCCTAATTTTTACTCCTCTAAGATCAACCCCTATTTTTTATTTGTTAATTTAAAACTTATGACTTGAACTTTGAGGTTTATGTAGAGAAAAATTCACAGAAAACCCTAAAAAGTTTTCATTCCAGAAAACTGAACTGTCTCTGGGGTTGCAGAATGTGGTATGTACCAACATGAAACATTCTCAGTACATACAAAAACTTCATTATTAGTACATACTAATAAGGCAGGCTAAGTAAAATCACATTAAGGAGAAACGTAGTTTGCGGGGGCGGCTAGTATCTTATAAAATTATCTGTGAACCTAACTTATGACTTAAACAACTGATATGACTTTAAAGGTGTTAATTTGTGTGACATACGATGACGGCGACGGCGTGTATCAGACACAGAAGACACCTGAGGCCCAGACCTAAAAAGGTTGTAGCGACACTAATTTATTAACAAATAACAAAAACCCTAGATCCTTAAAAAAATATATATTTTCCCGGTTTAAACTTTAAACTGTCTCTAATCAACACAGAATGAACACAATTCAAAAGAAAGAGACGAAGAAACTTTAGTTGCAGTATTGCAATATAGATTTATATATAAGGTTCAATTATTTGTACTTAAGGTTGCCTTGTACCTCGTAGTTTATTAAGTATTAAAACTTTGCGATAAACAGCAAAGATGTTTTCAGATTTTATAGTTGCTTAACTATTGACTGTAAAATACAAACTAGAATCCGTTACAAAACATAATATTCAAAACGCAAGATAAATGCGGTCGTTAAATAAAATCCTCGTGATATTTGTGGGTTTATGTTGTTCTAACTATGCATACGCCTTTTGTTTTAGACGAATGTTTCCTGTAGTAAAAGTTACGGCTAGCGGATTGGACCCTACGGCCATGTATACCGTTCTACTTGAATTTGTACAAGTTGATAGCCATCGGTGGAAATATGTTAATGGAGAGTGGGTAAGTGCCTTTGAGGGGCTTTTGCACTGTATTAGTATATCACATACCTACCTGCTGAGTTTCATCAACGCAGAATACGAAATTCTACCCGTATCACCTCGACGTCCGTCGTTCCACAAGGGAGTTTTTTACGGCAGTTTTTGCCGCGCACCACCTCTAAGGGGAACCAGCAGTCCACTGAAGTATTTCAAAAACAATTAGGGTCCTTAAAATGCCGGTAACGCACTCGCGAGCTTTTTGGCATTGAGAGTTTCGGCGGCGGTGTCACTTAACATCAGATGAGCCTCCTGCCTGTTCGTCCTCTGTTCTATATAAAAACATGTTTATTCATTCAAACGATTACGAGTTTAGATACGGTTCTTAACACCCAAATCGAAAAAAAAATATAATTTAACTAAAGAAATTTTTAACTAAAATTAAACACTTATTAATGTTCTAAATTTAAAATGTATAGACTTTTGTTTATATTTTTATTTTTGTAGGTTCCCGGTGGAAAGGCGGAAGTGCCACCCTCTAACGCAATATACATACATCCTGAGAGTCCCAACTTTGGTGCGCATTGGATGAAGGAGCCGATATCGTTTGCTAAAGTGAAACTCACGAATAAAACCAATGGAAATGGCCAGGTATAGTTGTAATAACTCTATATAGCGTCGGTAAGAAAATGGAAATCTTTCTGGTGTTATAGATTTGTTATGGAAGGAAAGATGGAATTGTTATTGGCAAATCAATGGAATGATTTGAGTCACATCGAGCTTTATGGAGTTTACTATTACATATCTATTTAAGTGTTATATTTTGCAGTACTATTTGGAGTTTGTATAGTTAATGCTATACAATTTTTTGGTTCAACTATCTATATGTTTATTTGTTGATGGTTTTATCGATTAAAGCGCATAGGCCTGCAAAACATGAGGTACACAAAAGTTAAAGATTGAATGACTGTTATTATATAACATTCACAGACACACATATACACACACAAACGCACATAGTACATTCGTACAATACAAATATTTATTTATTACGATATAAATTACAGAGGACCTGAGTAATTTGTATTTGTAAACCCGCATATACATAATATTTAGTTACTTTAAAATGATTTTTTTTTAATTTTGAAGCAAAAACTAATCTAATAAATTCACAACTGCTTATATTCTTCCACTTGCATTCCTATATCTTATAAAAAAGTTCCTACAACCCATTTTGTATCTGTTTCGTTATCATTTGTTTACTCTAAAAGCCTTCTGTGCGCGACACACGCCGTCGACTTTATTGGACCCAGTCGGTATTCTTTTCCTTCGTTCGAGAGTGTTAAATGCACACATATACAGAAAGTTGTACATAACATTATAGTGCAATATATTAATTTAAACATTAATATAATAAAAAGAATTTATGAAATATGGTACAATACTGATCTAACGCTACTCCTATACATTGCCTCCTATACATTGCCTCTGTGTTGTGGGAGTTGTTCGGTTTAATACCTGCAGCTGAGTTTCATCATCGGACGTCGAGGCAGAATAGGAACGACCCGTATCACCCCAACGTCCGTCGTTCCAAAACTGAGCGTTTTTTAAGGCCCAAACTGAACCAATTCGACTTAGGTCCTTTAAGAAAAGAGCGTACCAATTCTTAAAAGGCAACGCACTCGCGAGCCCTCTGGCATTGAGAGTGTCCATGGGCGGTATCACTTAAAATCAGGTGAGCCTCCTGCCCGTTTGCCTCCTGTTCTATAAAAAAAAACAATTATACCGTGATAAATGGTGCATGTTTAAAACAATTTAAAAAGAGAATAAACAAACAATTTCCAAGAAAAACTCTTCAGTTATTTGCTCTCACAGCTTCTTTGCATCGTTCTCATTAGTTCAAATGAGCATAATTAACAGTTCAGTACTCAGAATTTTTGATTTTAGAAAGTCGATACAGTTTCAATACCCATTCTCACGCTCGAATGTGATCGATAAAAGCAAACACTTTATATCCAGATCCATATGTTGACAGCTCAGTGTGAAATCTGTAGCTTTGCCAACTATTTAGCGGCTGCGCGTACGCACTATCATTTGTAATAATTATTGTCTCAACGCTATGTTTACTGTTCCCGTTATTATTATTCTACTTCAGTTAATATCAATTATTATTCAAAGTACACAGTTTATCCATTTCAATATTGTTATGAATAACAATGTAATAATAATGGGAGTAAATAGTGTTTAAAGATTTATGATAGATTAATAGTAAAGCACAAACTTGTCGATAGCTTTATAAGATATTACTATACGATACTCGATATAGTTGACAGGTAGTAGATAGTTGTTGAATCTATTCGAAAGCGCGCATTGTTCGTGCTTTTGTTTCCAGGTATACGCAAGCGGATTTTATAGTCGAAGACAATTAATTTACTTTAATAGAATGGTAATTAACTGTAATGTTTACAGTTTATTACTATTCTATTACGATAACTATACACATTCTTCTTGGTATGGGTGTGTTGTATCAGTTGCTACTTTTTAAATGCTTGGATACGTACGAATCATATCGATATGATTTCTTGGTTTCATTTATATAATTATTACTTTAATGACTGGTGCTATAGACTTTTAGGTCTAAGCCTCATATTTATATCTGTTTTCAAGTAGGTGATCAGCCTTCTGTGCCTGACATACCTACGCCGTCATTTTTTAGGCCTAATGCATGACATTTATCTTCACCGTACAAGCGAGTGTTAAACGCGCACATAGAAAGTTCCCAGTGGACTTCACAGCCGAGAATCGAATCTACGATCTCAAGGATGAAAATGCTGCTGCAACTAAGCCAACATTGCAGTACATAAGTTGATTAATAAAAACAAAATGTGTTTTACTAATACATAAAAATCATATTCACGTTTTATCTTATTACTTATATGTATGAGAACAAGAAAATGTGTAAAAAGTTACATTATACTTTATTAAAACAATTTTTTTCAGATAATGCTGAATTCCCTTCACAAATACGAGCCCAGGGTCCACCTAGTAAAAGTCGGCACAGATCTCCGTCGAATTATGACATATCCATTTCCTGAAACGCAATTTATCGCCGTAACTGCGTATCAGAATGAGGAAGTGACGTCACTGAAAATTAAATACAATCCATTTGCAAAAGCATTCCTGGACGCAAAAGAGAGGCCTGAGGGATATTACCAAAGGGACTTTGTTGGTTCTCACTACCCTCAACAAAGCTCTTCGCCTCATCAGTACCCACAATGTAAGTATATGATTTTGAATTTGGAAGTTCCTTATTACAGACTACTCAATAGTAGTTTTCGTACATAGAGTCTGGCTAATGAGAGAAGATAACGAAAATCGCGGCAAATTAAAAAAAAATAGTATGGTATCCCTAAAAGTTTGATATATTTTGTGGATTAAACTTACTTGATACTTAATTTTATTTTATTATTTTTTACATTGATAGTAACTGTATTTCTATGAAATTAAATACTATAGGTACGAATTTAGTCTTTTACTATTGATACTTAAAATGTCATTGCATGGAAAACTAAAACTATATTTATTATAAAACACAACTTTATTCGGAATAATCAAAATCAGAATCCAAAAAGTCAATAAAAGAAATTTTAGGCTATTATACCTGTTAACTATTCGGAAAAAATATGCATATAATAGAAATAAAAATCAGTAATTGCATGAAGTATCAAGACAATAAATCATACTAACCTAAGAAATTCAATGACATTCTGTGGTGCCATCCGAAAGTTTTCAAATAATTCAATTATTCATAGCCTAGCTGTCAATATGTTAAAAAAGTAGAAAGGAGGTTGAAACCGTAGAGTATATACTCGCCAAATCACGAATTAAATAAACTGTATTTTGTAAAAGCGTTTTACAAAAGATTTATAAAATACTTAGCCGGACAGCGTTTATTTTTATTTTAATTTCCTAACTAATGATTACAGTTGGAGGCTGGTTTGTGACATCACAGCCATTGTATGGAAGCGGAAATTCAGCGTCTAGGAGGCCTGCACCATATCCGCCACGCCCTCCTTCGCGGCCGCGAACTTTGTCGCCTCCCTGTAAGCACTTTTTGACCACGTTATAATAATTATAAGTATAGTATAAGTATTTACTAATATTACATAAAATTCAAATTGTGATTTTAAAACTTTGATTATTTAGAAAACATTTAATAATTATTGCATGTTTTCGGCGTACGTCGTTTTCTATATTTTGGTATTTTGTCTACTTGTTTACATTTCAAATAAAAATGATGCATAAATTATTAGGGACGCAACGGGCGGCCTTATCGCTAACAAGCGATATATTACAGGCAATCCTAGTAAAAAAAAATACTTTGGGTAAAGTGAAACTGCATAACTAAATCAACAAAAATAAATTAACAAGTAACACTGAAAAATAATAAAATTAAAAGACTTAAAAATATAATAAAAAAAAACTTTGTTTACTATATAGCCTAATACAGAGATTTGATATTGATTTGCTATCTGATAAGCTGTAGATTGTGATCAGGAATGTGCTGCTGTTATGAATACCAGAATTTTTAATTACACGTCACATAATTTAGAATCTACAGAATATGTATAATCTATTTACAATTTTGTTACCAGCTACCTACAGCACCGCAGAGCGATCACCAGTCGCTACAAATAGCAGTTACACCTGGGCTGGAAGTAGCAGTTACTGGAACTCGCAAGGGAACAGTTCACCTCAACCCAATACCTCCCCAGTTCCCTATAGAACTCCCCCACACGCATACCCTGCCCCTATAGAGTATTCTGCCCCCACGACAACGGCACCTGCGTCAGCTCCCGCCCCCCTCTACCCGCTACAGTATGATGCGCCAAGTCAGCATCATTCACCATACTACCAACATGCCTACGCTCCATACGCTCATCACGCTATTGAAGATATTTCGTATTGGCCGAATAGGTAATATTTTTAATACTTGCTTATAAAGTGTAGCCAGTAGAGAAAAAAAAATATTTTTATTATTACCTGTATAACTGTTGCAATGGTAGGTTTTTAAAAGAAGAATTAAATTTCTAGATTGTTTTTTTTAAAGACTCACTACATAATAACAAGTGAGATCCAAAAATAACCCAAAACCAATTAGACAGACAATAAGGAAATTCGATAATAACTTTAAACACTATTACTAGATGGCGCTACGTACAAAAAATTTCTAAATAGGAAATATTATGATTAAAAATATAGCCTAGCTACATTATATAGTTTACCGTAAATATTAAAAAAAAATGTGTTTTATTCGTTTTTCTTTCATTCAGACTGCATTGTATTTTATCACTGTCCGTTGTTTTACGTACGTTGATTTCTCTTTAAATTAGTACTTTAACGTAAGTTTTTAACTTCTTTATTCCAGTTTGAACAGCTACGGATACCAACCGTCTGAATACGTGGGTACCGGAGAAGTAGCGTATGCCGCAGAAGGCATGCCATTCGGAAGTGGTGCCCCACTCGAAGCGAGCACCAATCAGGAGGAACGAACTACCCCCCCAAGGCACTGAACATCAGAGTGGCGACCGAGAATATAAATATAATACTGAAGAAGATCGGCATTCGCCTTGTGAAAATACAACTTTACCCTCGCGTTCGCCACCCCAATGACATGCTTTAGTGAAATAAAATACTGTTTAACACGTGTGTTAAGTCCTGATTGTTACTCAATTCGATTGATTCTGATTGTTATTTAGATCTGTGTTTGGCGGAAGAGGCATAATCGACCAATTGCGATGGGTGAAGTGAATTCTATAATGACATTCACAGAATACGGGGGCTCGGCAATGCTATAGATAAATTTATATGAATATCTGTATCCAAGACATTGAGCCATTGTAATGTGTGCCTTCCAGCCGCATTTTAAAAATTAAATTCGGTTTAAGATGCAATGGATACATCAATCAAGTCAGGGGCAGTTAACTGTATTTACCTATAGTCCTATAATAATGTTCATGTCTGCCTAGTTTAATACATGTTCTGGATTCGTTATTGTAATACATTGGTTATAAATCGAATTCAAAACCTTCCCTACGGGACAACTATTCCAGTTTCAATACGTAATACGCTTGGTGAAGATAGATACTGTTTTCTTATTTTTTATGTTATTGTACAGAATAATTATGTAACGTATGCCTTCATTACATTCGTAGGTATATTTTTCATATAAATAACAAATATTATTCCGTACCTATATCGAAATTATTTTACTTTTGTGCTTTGTAATATAATTTAAACTCACTTGTAGTCTGTGCGGAAAGGAAGAACCGGCGTGGCAGTGTCAAACTAATATAATTATTATTTCCTACGCGCCATTTCATTGGCTTTATCGTATTATAACATGATTATCGTCAAATTATAATGACGTAACAGTGTTGCCAACATAACATAAAAGGTAATTTAGCACTGCATCATCCACATATCCCATGACGACGATTCTTTCCGTATAGACTATGCGAAATGCTTTTATTGGTACAGTAATTTAAAATTGTACCACTAAATCAACAGAACAAGCTTTCATTTTCAGATATTATAGTTCCCCTCAATCTTGTACTAACCGTTTTTATATGTAAAGTTATTTCTTTTTTATTTATGTGTGATATTAGCGTTATTAAAAACACTAATATTATGCCTAGTAACGTAAGATTACATTTACAAGTAATTTATGGAGCTAATGCTAATTTTCAGAGGAAATAGTAAAGTTATTCAGGATTCTGATACCTTCGATCCGATGTAAATATTTAGACCAATGGAGTAAATACATACCTAATTAAATTTAATTATAAGATCTTAGAATATTATTGTAACTGCAATGTTTTCATTATTAGCTAATAAATGTTTTTGTTAAAGTTTTTTTTACATTTTACGTTGACTACCGCAAACTCTGAAAACCGATTAGTCTCATAGACAGTACTACACGATGAAACAATCTATATAGATAATTTATTGTTTATGCTTTTTTTAACAGCGACATTCGTTTGTTTGACATCAAAATTCATAGATATACTAGAAAATGTATCGACATTTACAATACGACTACAAATCACTGCGATGACATACCGTGAATCGCGCTAACAAAGTATTTCGAACTAAGTATAATATACAACTACAACTTCTCGACGTTAGTCGATGATCCTCCCTTTAGGTTGGAGAAAAACACTTATTATAAATAATAAATGAATGAAATAAATAAATGTTCAAAATGGCAGATTTAACACAACATTTCATTCAAAGCTTCATTTAAATATTATTATAATTGATAACCTCTAATACATGAACAAAGTAACAAAAAACCCTTACAAAATTTCCAAACTTTTAAATAAAAAACTAAAACTCAATGATTAAATTAAATTTTTAGTTGAGGTTTTAGACAGTAAACTCCTCTAAAACAAAGACCTTGAATAGAAACTAAATAAAGCAAAGATGAGGTCTATCGCCTAAAATAACATTATAGCTATTTACTGCTGTAAATAGGCCAATACTGACTTATGGAGCCTTGGTGGCCGAGATCGGAACTCCGAACGAAAATCACGAAACTAGAACGCTTCTAAAGGCTTGCCTTGTCCGCCGCCAGCAGTTGCATGAAAACAACGCCTACAGCAGTGATAGATATAGCCGTACAAATTGTACTCTTAGACGTCTACATACAGCAGGAGATGGCACTAGTTGTGATCAGATTACACCTAGATCTATGGGGAAAACCACTACAAGTCACACGGCTACTCTAAACAGAGTGTGAAACGCTCAAAGCCGCGCCATGTGATAGGATCGCCAATCAACACAGCTAATATCATGTACCTACAAATGAAAGAAGAGAAACATGATCAATCGACCCTAAATGAGCTACGTATAGCCAAACACAGGATGTGGCTCCGGCGCTGGGATATTCTTTCTTGATCTCACTTGACTGCGTAAAGCCTGCAAATGGTCCAGAAAAATTCTGAGCTTCCTGGAAAGGAGCTAGGTTGGCTTAATTAGCCACGTACAACGGACCAAACGTGAGTCTAAGTGCAGAAACTGACTCTACCTTACTACTACTGCTACTCATACATTATAAAAATATTGTACAATCTGCGTACATTAGTAGTTTACCATCATACGTCGTTATGTCATAATCCCAAGTGTACGATAATTATCATTCGGTTGGGTATAACCGACTGTAAATTAAACAATAATTTTCGTGAAGTCAAAATATGAATTAGTGTCTGCTGTCAATGTCTAATATTGACAATAAATATATTGTAGAAACTGTTAAGCCAGACGCGGGAACCGAAATTTAAAAAAAAAATTCATAATCTGTGCGAAGTGCGAACTGCGAAACCAAGAAAACTTAAATTTTACGGGTATATTTTAACACATAAATTTTACAATTTTAATACGACCACAAATTGCGTATTGTGTTTGTGAATATTGAAGTGTAGTCAAATGTAAATAGTAAGTAAATAGTAGTTTCTTTTTAAAGCCGATAAGGATATGGAATCTACAACATCAGTGTCAAAGGTTTGTAAGCTCTCTATAATCCAAAAAAATCTATAATAGTTTTTGATTAAACTGCATATTTTTAAATTTGATAAATCAAATACCTATTTTTAATTTCAGGGTGTGTTTTTATTCCCAAATGGTTACAATAATGGAAAGAAGTCCAAGAAAAAGTCGTCAATATTTGAATCAACGTTTTCTAATGAACAGTGGTATAGGACATTTAAAATGAATTGGGATGAAGTCGAAGACCAGCTAAGGGTGAGGTTGTTTGTTGTAGCAACTATTGTTTAAAAGTAGTTGTTATTTGGATCATGTTATCTTTATGCATCAAAACTATTGAAATTGTAACCTTCCAATAGCTTTTACTTATATTTTAAAGTTGTGTTGGTTTATATCAGTGCCACATATTATAATAAAAGTATTGCTGCTATCACATTACATGTAATAAATTTATTCAAGATGGTCAATTTATATTACACATTGCAACTCATATGAGTTATAAAAAGATGTTATAATAAGTACATTAGAATGTCATATATTTCAGATACTCCATGAAATGACCCACAGTGTGCTCTTAAATGATATAGTAAGTTACTTAAAAATCTCACAACAGGGCTGTGAATTAAACAGTTGTGATAAAATAATACCATGTATCACATTATTAACTGGCGTCAACCAACCTGATCATGTTGATCAGTTCAAATCTCTTATAGGACTTATAAGGTTAGTATTGTAGAATTTAAAAAAAAAATCTTCATTGTATAATATATAGTAGTAGATATATATTATATCTATTACTGTAACTGTTTGAACCTGTTTCTAGACTGAGTAATTGGCCATCCCTTCATCTATATGCTTTCGACATTTAAATATGATGTAACAGTGAAATGTAAACATGTTCCGACAGTTAATTTGTAAATTTAGATTTATATTTTGATGTCAGTACCGCAACAGCTGCATACTAAATAATAGGTCATGAACATTTGTAGTAAAAGTATTAATTTTTTAATAATTATATTTTTGTACTATTACAAATATGTATTTTAATAAAAAAACATAATATTTTCAGGGAAGATGTGAGTCCCCATGTCGCTATGGTGAATTCACAAGATGCACCAACATTGAAACACTTAGTAGAAAATACAGTTTGGCAGCTTATTAATGATGACAATTTAGTGGTATGTTATATCAATTTACTAATAAATAACTGTCTATTAAGCACAAACAATCAAATAGACGTCTATATTAAGGTTGCCTGGAAGATTAATTAATAGCGATAAGGCCACCCAATGAAATTTGTAATGTTTTTCTATTTCTTTTGTTTTGTGTGGAATTTTTGTAAAAAGTGCTTAGACATATTTTGAATTAAAATTAATGTTACTCTTCAATAATAACTTCAAACTATTGAAAACTTTGTGTTTGCCCTACTCACAATATATGATACTTAATAGGTACAAATGTGTGGAACTATCCAAACTGTTGCTTGAATTTATTTGATTTGTCATCCAATATTTAAACTATCAAAATCTCCTAACACTGTTTTTTGAAATTATGAAATAAGACAGAAATCTATGTAGTAAATATGCTCCATTATCCTATATTAAACCAAACCATACTTTTAATAATTTTTTTTTTTTTTTTTGGACAATTCACACCAGCTAAGCTGGTGAAGCTTGTGTTATGGGTACTAGGCAACAGATATACATACATATTATAGATAGATAGACATATAAATACATATTTAAACATCCAAGACCTAAGCACAACACCAAATGCTCATCACATTGATTTTTGTCTCAGCCGGGGATCGAACCCGGGACCCATGGATTCGCAGTCAGTGGTACTAACCACTAGACCAATGAGTCGTCTTTTTTATAAGAATAAGTTATTGTACCAACTAAAACATCTTATTTGATTTAATTTCTGGGTAAAGACGATAAAAAAGACCTGATCTAATGGTATATTTCAAAATAAAAGAGCATAACAATTCCTAAAATTGCAATATTTATTTCTAAATATATCCATTGTAACTACTGTAAATATAATTTTCTTTTTCAGGGTGACTTAGAAGACAGCTTTGATGAATCAAGTAAGCCTAAATTAAAAAAAAAGTCGTTGTACCATGAAGACTTTACAGAGTTGGTACAACAATAATCTTGTGAAATCTCCAAAGAAAAGGAAGAAGTCACAACAGTCCCTAGTTGTTATAATACCGGACTTTGAAAGCTTCAATTGTAATGTTCTACAGGATTTTGTTATGATAATAAGGTATTGTAAAATTTAATTTAATTTTGTTGGTATTTGGTCTTTAGTGCTGTTTAGTTTCCAAAATAATATTTAAAATATAATTTTGCTTAGCTATATTCTTAGCCTGGTTGAAAACTAAAGAATAATTCATAATATTAAAAATACAATAGACCGGACTCTTTGATGGTATTGGTGAATGGTTGTTGGCAGAAATAGAGGTATAACATTTTGTAGTACCCAATCTGTGCAATAAAGTATTGAATATTACTAATAAAATATATCATTAATTTATAATGGAAAGTATGTTTATTGTATACTTAATTATTTTGATATAATTTCTCTTCACCCATTAGGGGTATGTATTAACAAATATTATATTATGTAGTTAGATTAAATGTCAGGAGTATTTAATTTAATTTCTTTTTTTTTTCACTAAAAATACTTGTTTACACAATATCTGTTAATTAAACTGCAATTGATTTATAGTATTATTTTTTTCAGTTCTTATATTTCAACTTTGCCGATAGTACTTATTTTTGGTGTGGCGACATCTGTCTCTGCGTTGCATAAATCTTTTCCTTACCAAGTTTCATCAAAGCTTCTTATAAAAGTATTTCATTCACAGCCCTCTCATGTATATATGAATCAAGTTAGTATGTTTTTGTTTTTTTTATAATTTGTCTTCTATTCCTTTATTATAGTACAAGATATATAAATAAAGGATTGATATTGATCGAGTATAGATCCACAACGGTCAATGACCCTGTGCCTCTCTTTATGTAACATTGCCACTCCAGATAATGTTTTTTTTAAATAATTATTATAAGCTAAATTAATTAATAAAATAATCTTATTGGTCAGTAAAATTATTTTAATGACCCATTTAAAATGTAAAATTGGCTTTGCCTCTATAGTCTATACTCTGACATTAGTGTTTAAATTGACTTCAAAAAACCGAAGAAGAGGTTGTCAATTTGGTTTTGTATATCTATGGCCGTTTATAAATGGCGCCAAACTATTGCATTTGGCGTCATTTATTGACGTTCTATTAATTACGTTCAATATCAGTTCGAGATAATTTAAAGTAATAGTGTCGCATAGGTTTTTATAATATTTATTTTTGAAGTTATTCAGTTTAGGCGGGTTATGAAAAATTGATGAGAGTGAAATTTTACGATGCGCGCGCACCGTGACACAAAATTAGCAGAATGAAGTTGCCCACGGCATTGGCCATAATTTAAAAACAACATTCGAATAATAATACAATTTATTTTACACTTAATGTAAGAGAATAATAATAAATATTAATATATTTATTAATTTTTCAAATGTAAACTGCACTTTATTGACTGTGATGACTCCTTTTCCAGTCTTTTATTATTTAATTGTAATTAATTATTTGCATGCAATCAAAAACTATTTTTAATAATGCCAAAGAAGTATAACTTCTTACGCGCGTACATAAGTACACGCACTCTTTTTTTTTTATAAAATTAAATTATATTATATTTGTATGAGGTTCGCACTCACGCACTTAAACCCCATAAATAAGTATGTACATTTTGCTTTTTGTAAATTTTCTTTATTACAGGTTTTGGAAAATATATTCTTAACACATTCAAGTCCATTTCACTTATCGGGAAAAGCGTTTGAGCTGTTGACGGATGTTTTTCTCTTCTACGATTTTTCTGTTACTGGAATTATTCAAAGTATTAAGGTATGAATTTCACCAATGTTGATATGTAGTAGACTTGGTTTGTGCTAATCCAGAAAATAACCAGTGGGCTTGAATTAATAAATATCTGAAAGTTCATTCTGTGATAACATGTATAATACTAAGCTTTGTTACCAGATTTTAGAATAAATCGAAGAATATGTTGTTAAGAGCATTACTTAAAGACGGCTGCGACAATTCGAGTGTTTTTTTATTTATCCTTTGAACTCTGAAGAGATTTTTATGGAGATAACATTTTAAAAACTATAAAAAAAGGTTTTATTTAGAATAACGGTCAGTCTCTATGGGTTAGCATAGCAAAATGTTCCATACGTTGGTATTTAGCTACTGAAACAGTAAGCTTTGTAAAAAATCATTTGATCTATCTTAGGATGTACCGTGTGTACCCTTTTTAGCCACTCAAGTATACGACCTTATTTATTCTTGGTTCTGTGGACTACAACGAACAACGAGCGAGTACGCCGAGGATTCGCTCTTGTGATGCACTTCATAAAATTGTAACATGGCAAGGACAGTAATTTGGCAAAACTACAGTGCTTAAGCTTCAATGTGCACATATGATTCGTAGACAGGTCGATTTAGTAGACCTTTTTTACTGTCCGTTGAGTGAACTAACAAAATTTCCATTATTTGTTAGTGTATAGTTATTTTTTTATTATGTAATTTTATTCAATTAATTTGCGGTATTTGTTTTAAAATAAGTGTTGTTTGACATAGATTATGATGACCAATAATAAAATATGATTTGCTATTTAAAAGAGTACCGAGCGATTTTTACGCCTGCTTTTTCTCTCGACCTACACCCTTCTTCATTGCCGATGAGTAGGGATGTCTACCGATTCAAATTTAATGACGTGGAATAAGTGATACCTGTATCTTATATTCCATAATAAACATATTTTATTTATTTTTTCGTAATTAGTTTCGTAAATTTTAGTAAATTTTTTTCCATTCTTGTGCGTTCATATCGATTTAGGGTCACATGTTAGGACACCATTGTTTTTTATAAATAAATATTAAGGCAATTGTGTTGCGGGGGCTTGTGATGAATAAAAAATATTTGCCTTTCAGTACTGTATGATGGACTTCTTCTATGCTGATAATATTAAATCGTTATGCGGTGATCGGGAGAAATTGAACGCTAAGATCTCAAAATTAACATCAGATGATCTGGAAAATATAAGACGTCTTCTATCCTTCAGACCATTTCTAGAAGTACAGGATTGTCAAACGAAGATCGGTCTTTTTGAAGACGATAATTTCTTCAAAGAGGTCCTACAGGAGGAGCTGCACAAATTGCATGATTATCTGTTTAGTTTTTATCTGTCTTTAAGATTGTTAGCTGTGTTTGTTAAGGATTTGCCGAAAAACGTCATGGGGAAGTCGGTGAGTGCTTTAAATTCTTGGTTGATTTGAAAAAAAAATTATTAGTTTACTTATTATACTGCAAATTAAATTAACAAATTAATAAGTTTCCTTTGAGTGGAATTCGAAATCTCCAATACTTAACTCAATTTTCGATTAATACGTTGTCTACACGATTTATACTCTTTATATTTAAAAAACGGGTAGTTGGTTCATCTGATGTTATGTTGAACGCCGCCCATGGACACTCAATGCCAGAGGGCTCGCGAGTGCGCTGCTGGCCTTTTTAGAATTGGTACGCGCTTTTCTTGAAAGACCCTTAATCGAATTGGCTCGGAAATACTTCAACGGGCTGGTCCCACCACCACGGTGCGCAGAAAAACTGCCTTAAAAACGCTCTGTTGTGGAACGACGGACGTCGAAGCGAATTTTGTATAAAAATTCTGTATCTGTTTCCTGATCATTTTTTTTCTCTAATATAATAGTAGGTGATCAGCCTGCTGTGCCTGACACATGCCGTCTATGTTTTCTTTCCCCGTCCGAGTGTTATATGCGCACACAGAAATGCCGGTGCAGAGTTTGTAGGTCGAACGATCCCAGTTTAGCCGCTATGCCAACACAATATATGAATTCTTATGACCTATAAATTATTGAAAAACAATATGACATGACAAATTATGGTTTTTAAAATCATTTCTTTATAGGCTACAATTACTATAACCAAGGTGGTAACTGAAATAGCATTCAGCAAAACTAATCTAATTGCACCCTTTTATCTTCAGTTCTCTTCTCTCTCAGTCAAATCAAGTATACACTATGACGAAAAGAGACAATAGATTGAATTAGTAATATTTTAGGTCAGAGAAATATACGCAAAATGTGCAACAGAGCACATAGTTAAAACAGAAGCTTTCAAAGAAAGCATGCAATTGATAAACTTTCAGTCCAAAGTTCAATTGCTTGAGACAATTAAAAGTGCAATTAAAGTCGTGAATAACGCCCTACAAAGCACTTCCCCCGGACCATTACGATCTCCAACGAAAAATATGTTGAACAAATCAATTAATAGCTTGGGAGAGGAGTTTGTTAAGAACATTAAAATACATTTTGTGATATTTTGGCGGCAAATCGAAAATGCTAGTACTGAGGTGACGGTTCTGGAGGAGGACGATGACGATTTCGATTTGAGAGGAAGCCGACACAAATTGAAAGAGGTTGGTTTTGGTTATGTTATATTTCGTGATCGTAGAACAATGTCGGACTTGAAAAAAATCCAGAATCCATCATATTTGGCTAAATATGACGGCTACATTAAAAATAAATCAATGTGTTTTAAATTTCAAATGAATCAGTCGGTAAAGTGACGGATTTGTTAGAAACACGTGATTTTCTACTGTGTAACCTGTGGGGGCTCTTCAAGTATTACGTAAGCAGATTAACTGCAATTTATCCCTTCCCTCCTCTTATCAGCAAAAGCCCTCAAAAATAATAGTGCATAAACGTATTATATTTTGTAGGAATCCTTGAAATGCGTTCCGTTTTCAAGCAATGTGTGAGTAATGTGTAAAAAAAGTAAATAATTACTGTTTTATGTTGTGCATAAGAAAATCAAAGAGAATTTCTTTAGGAAATGTTGTTTAACTTGACTTATAATAATAAATCCAGTTTTTTCCAATCTTTACAATTGTTAATAATATACAGTTAAAATTTGTTATAATATACTCGTACATATAGAATGAAAGTCCTGACCGTACGTTTAAATGTACGTACAGCAATGGTGCTACAAATTTTTAGGTCATGGCCTCAGATTTCTGAATCTGTTTCGTTATCATTTGTTTCTAGTCAATTAGGTGATCAGCCTTCTATGCCTGACTCCGTCAACTTTTTGGGTTAACCGGCATATATAACATTCCCCCACGAGTTAAATGCGCACATAGAATGTCCATTGGTTCACAGCCTGGGATCAAACCCACGACCTAAGGGATGAAACTTGTAACCACTATCCCAACATCAGCTCTTTATATAAAAATATAATTTACCAGTTAATTCTCATTAGATACCAAAATAAATACGCTTATTTCTCTTATAAACAAATAGGCCTACATCCTATCTCTGTCTCTAACTATCTATCGGCGAATAGCACCTTAATTACCATTTATGTACCATATTCTTTTATATAAATTTTTATTATTAAAGAATTATTTATCGATAAATAATTTTCAGAAACTCCTAAAAGCAACGAGGGTCGATAGAATCCAATCAGAATTTATGATGATCAGATCCCGTTTCGTGAATTATTTGGAGGAGATATTTGAGAAGTCCTTACTTCCGCCTCACACCCAGACATTTCACGAGATCCTGTTCTTCACTGAGGTGTCGAATGTCAAGAAGCAGATCGTTGGAGCTCCGAGAGGCGCCTTGCACGTTGCGCTTAGCAATCCACAGTGTTATTTACAGGTAATGTATGTTCGACAGTATACAGAATATCGCGTTATAGGAAATCGCGTTGTAGGAGTATTCTCGTGAAACCGTTTGAACATTTAAAAAACTACACACGAATATAATTTATTTATTTAATAAATAATAAAAAATAATACGAAACAGAAAACAAATATGTATATTAATAGACAAAACTATATAAAGAAAACTGAAATTTAACATTTGACCACTCATTGGTCTAGTGGTTAGTACCCCTGACTGCGAATCCATAAGTCCCGGGTTCGATCCCCAGCTGAGACGAACATCGATGTGATGAGCATTTGGTGTTGTGCTTAGGTCTTGGATGTTTAAATATGTATTTATATGTCTATCTATCTATTATATGTATGTATGTCCGTTGCCTAGTACCCATAACACAAGCTTCACCAGCTTAGCATGGGACTAGGTCAATTGGTATGAATTGTCTTTAAAAAAAAAAAAAACAACAACAAATTAATGTTTCAAACTACTGCTTAAACAAAATCAGCCTTCCCGCCTCTTTAAATACTTGCTCACTTCTGCTTTGGTGAGGTGGAAAATATTAGTTAGTTAGTTTATATAATTAATAAATAATTTACTTTAATTTTAAACACAGTTGAAACAGTTTCAAAGGTACGAAAAACTAATTATGGTACTTGACAAATCTTTATCACACTACATAAATATTACTTGAGAAATCTCCGCATTTTCTAGTTTTTAATCCACGCAACAATATTTATTTATCTATTTCTTATAGAAGTTTTATAACATATAAGTAACAATTATTCTTATTTTTTGAAGTTATACTTCTTTAGGTGCGTTATAAAAATTGATGAGAGTGAAATTTTACGATGTTGTCAGTGTGATTAAAGCGTGCGCGAGCGAGATGGGAATAAGACAATCTACAAGTAAAAAGAAATAGAATATGCGTGAAGTTAGCAGCTATGCCAAGAATTTTGAATGACCATAGTGACATTTACCTTTTAAACAAATAAAGGAGTTTTAATTATTTTTTCAAAGAAATTTAGCAATGCTTTTTCACAAAGACCTATTGTTACTTAGTTAAAAGATTATGAAAGATACCTAGTTATTAAATTGAATTAATAATATAATAAATAATAATAATAATTATTATTAATTAATAATTGAATAATATATTAAATATTATTAAATTATTAACGTTAAAAATTTATTATTAATTATTTAATATTTTAAAAAAATAAAGAAAGCCAAAGAAGTATAACTTCTTACGCGCGTACATAAGTACACGCACCCTTTTTTTTATTTAGTTTTACACACAAATCTTCCAAGACTTTACTTATTCTTTTTCTTCTTTTTTTGCGCCTTGCGGCAGAAAGACCAGCGCCGTGGAACACGTCTGCTCCGCATCATAATGCTGAGGCAGTTACAACACCAACACACACACATTACACACTTATTTGATTACGATTATTATTTTGTGTGTATATGTGTGTGTGTTTCGTTAGTAATAAATGTTATGCTGTTATAACTGTCTGTCTGTTTTTGGGTGGCAATACCGCGTTATTCGATACGGAACGCGTTTTATATCAATTAATATTTTTATAATTTATATTATTTTTAGTAAATTTTGATAGTGATAATAATATTTTGACTTTACCGATCGTCATTTGGTTCTCTTTCCTATTTTTTCGCTTGAATTTTACATTAGATTACATTTTTGATTTCCCCTCAATATTTTTTTACCGGTGTTGTAGATTCTGAACTATTCAAAGGCAAATAAATAGTTGTTATATTATTAGTCTACTCTCTCTTATGTTCCCATATTAATTTCCTTACGATATATCGAGGCGAGCTATGTACTCAGGGCTAATGTATAAGATTAAATTGTGGAAGAACGGCCACCGGATTATTCTTTATCGTCATAATAAAATGCAGTAATGTAATGTCTCCTTCAGTAGTCATTGTTAAGGGATTTTATTCATAATTTATTTATTTCAATAATCTGTGGTAATTGTAATTCAAATTTCCCGCGTTAATAGACTGTCATTGTCAATGTTAGATGGCTCTCTCGCTCTCGGAGTACTCTTACACACTGTTCGCCCTTGTTTATTATTTGAGCTTTTATCCAAATATTAAATGTAAGCTCAATTAATAATTTTTTTTTGTATTACTTTAGATTAAGGTTCTATATTTTTTTTATATAACATTTGGTTCTGCACTTCTCGCTCTCATCATGTTTTTTTTAGTTTTTCTCTTTAACTAGGGTTGTCTGGAAGAGATCGCTTATTAGCGATAAGGCCGCCCGTTGCATCCCTTATAATTTTTATGTATTGTGTTATTTGTGTTTCTTTTATTTTTATGGCAACGAAGTGTAAATAAATAAAAATAAAAATAATATTAATCCGTTTTATTTCAATAATCTAAAATTGAATAGTATCCCTATTATATTTATACATATAATAATGTTTTTGGTTAACGGGAGTTTTTTTTAATAATACTCAACGGATATTAATTATATAGGCGCGTATTTCAAAAGGTATCTTAAGTCCTATTAATACACTTAAAATATATCAAATAGAATAAATGATTTGACAGCTCTTAAAAGCAGTTTTAGTTTGAGTTACATTCTAGAAAACTATAAAATAAATCAGTGGCGCTACAACCTCTTTAAGTCTAGGCCTCAGATTTATGAATCTGTTTCATGATCATTTTTAAATATAATAGGCACGTAGGTGATCAGCCTCCAGAGCCTGACACACGCCGTCGACTTTTTGGGTCTAAGACAAGTGTCCTCACGATGTTTTCCTTCACCGTTCGAGCAAATGTTAAATGCGGACATAGAAAGAAAGTCCATTGGTGCACAGCCGGGGATCGAACCTACGACCTCAGGTATGAGAGTCGCACACTAGAGCCACTAGGCCAACACTGCTCTTATATATCTAGTGTTCGAAAATTTAATTTTTATTCAAATAACTTTACAGTGTAAATGCTGCACCCTGCCGTCTCTGGAGAGCGTATCAGATACAATCCCGGATGTGAGTCTGGCTTATAAGCTTCACCGGGAATGCGGGAAGCACATCAACCTATACGACTGGCTCCAGGCTTTCGCCGCCATCCTTTGCCCTGACAGCGAAGATCCCGCACACGACCCCAATATTCAGTAAGTTTAGTTTTAAACTGTTATTAGTTGTTTTTGGATGTGATTATTTGATTTGTGTATTACAAATTTGTCGGTGCAAGTTTCAATTAAAATAGGTTTAGTATTCGAGTACTATAAGGATTACATAAAGTTTGTTAAATTATTAATTATATATATAATTAAGTAAATGTTATAGTTACTATATGTTTATAGCAACAGGTGCTAAATCTTAATTTAAAAAAAAAAAAACTCTGTCCATAGTAGCTTATTTAAAAAAATCTAATACACCACTACACGCAATACTTGTGGAACGAATTTGCTTATCTTGCCGAAGCAGCGCAGAAATTATTTAAAGAAGTCTATTAAGTATGAGGGTGTGCAATTATTTAATCAATTACCGTCTATAATTCGTAATATTCTCGCGTTTGATCAATTAAAAAAGGGCATTAAAGATACATATTAGAATGAGCCTAGTAGACTAAAATTGGAATCGCTGATGGCGACGCGTATCTCGTGATATTGTAATGAGAAATAAAGTTCTTTAAACATTTTATGTTATTATATTTATGATAATATTGAGATGAAAATACTTAAATATACGCAATATTAAATGATCATGAAACAGACCTAAAAAAACAGGTTGTAGCGCCACTGATTTATTTATTTTATTTTGTACGAAATATATCAGCATTTTTTTTTGTTAGCCGTTAAAAGAAACTATGGTGCACAACGGTACTTGTTTTGAAAATTTTAACTGGTAAGAAAAAACTAACAAAATCACAAGAAAAAGTGGTCTAACCAGAATTCACTGCGTTGTGGTCTAATCTCTTCCATTTGACATATGAATGATTTAAGATACTTTTTTTTTTTTTTTTTTTTTAAGACAATTCACACCAATTGACCTAGCCCCATGCTAAGCTGGTGAAGCTTGTGTTATGGGTACTAGGCAACGGATATACATACATATTATAGATAGATAAACGTAAAAATACATATTTAAACACCCAAGACCTAAGCACAACACCAAATGCTCATCACATCGATGTTCGTCTCAGCCGGGGATCGAACCCGGGACCCATGGATTCGCAGTCAGGGGTACTAACCACTAGACCAATGAGTCGTCTAATACTGATACTTGTTATAATTCTATTTAATTTCAATTTTATAACTAAACTACTGTTGCACAAGAAGAATACTTTGAGCATGGGACAGATTGAGATGTTGTTAGTGAATGTATAAAGTTTTGAAAGTTGTTGTAATGGCCTCTAAAAGAGAAAAAGCGTTGTCTGCGTGCGTTTTTTGGGTGGCTTAAATATAGGTTTTCGTTTATTTATGTATTTCGTAATCCTACAGCTAACATAAATTATATACAACATACAACAATTATGCTAAAGGGTAGGCAAACATGTTATACATCTAATATATAAAATTCTCGTGTCACAGTTTTCGTTGCCATACTCCTCCGAAACGGCTTGACCGATTTTGATGAAATTTTTTGTGCTTATCCGGTATCTATGAGAATCGGCCAACATCTATTTTTCATCCCCCTAAATGTTAGGGGTAGTCCAGCCCTAAAATTTTTTTTAATTTTTAGATATTTTTTTTGTTTTTATTTTTTTATGATACAGCATTAAAAAATACATACAACCCCTAATTTTGACCCATCTACGATCAACCCCTATTTTTTATTATAAATGATATACATGGCAAAACGACGTTTGGCGTCGTGTGGTTAAACTCCTCCGAAACGGCTCGACAGATTCTCATGAAATTTTGTGTGCATATTCAGTAAGTCTGAGAATCGGACAACATCTCTTTTTCATCCCCCTAAATTGTAAGGGTAGTCCACCCCTAATTTTTTTTTAATTTTTAGACAAAACTTTTTGTTTTTATTTTTTCTCTGATACAGCATTAAAAAATACATACAACCCCTAATTTTTGATTATGAATGATGTACATGGCAAAACGACGTTTGCCGGGTCAGCTAGTAATATATACAAATTTTCGAAACTTAAAAAAGAAAAAAATCAACTAAAATTATTAAATACATTTAACTAAGTAATACAAGGCTATGTTGTGTGATGGTGTGAAAGTGACAGGTGTGTACGTGAGGGTGTGTATGTGGGGTGGTTATGCAGGTGATTTAGCGCTATGGATATTCTTAATACTACTTTTAAGCATATTCCGCCATCGCTTAAACAAGTTAAGGCTTAAATAATAGTCATATCGTCATAGTCGTAGAATAGTGACGGATCTGACAAATAGTAAACTTTACAGGGCAGCCATTTTAAAAATAATATAATCATGTTAGTTTTTGTCATAACTATTTAAATTCATATTCTGTTATTATGAAAATTGGCATACAAGCAAACAAAAGGGGTTGTTTTGAAACAAAATAAAAATAATAACATTAAATTACACAGTTTTCTAGAAAAATCACTTGCTTCTATCAAATCCGTCAACTTACTGACTGATTAATTTGAAATTTAAAACACATGGATTTTTTTTTTAATGTAGCCGTAATATTTAGTCAATGTCAAAATATGATAAAAAGTGTTTTTTTTTCAAATCCGACATTGTTCTACGATCATGGCGGTGTGTCCGGGCTGCGCGATATAAAACTGAGTTTTTTGCGTAGTTGGCATGATTACGAGTCTGGTAGGGAGGTGTTTCTTTCCAAGTCTTATAAGTTTGCCGTTGGCTAAATAAGGTTTAGGCTAAACTGTTAAATCGACTGGTTTTTGTGGCTTATATGGACTCGAACACATGACCTCTGGGTTTCCGATTTCCTCAGTTATGCACTAGAAATGGATATAATTGTTACAGTTTGTTTTTATTTTTAAGTTGAAATTTTTTTGTAGTTTAAAGTATGTAAGTTCGCGTATATAATTATAATTTGGTATAATAAATAAATACATTACCGTTAACTACTAAGCCACATACACTGGAATCACATGAATTATGCAAAAGGCAAATAAAAGGCAGACAAAACAAATAAGAATATTAATTTTTTTATTATTCCAGTAGCTAGTTTACGTCTAGCTAGGTCCGTGAAGATGTGTTGTCGAATTAATACACAAGGCCACATTTTACTCAACAAAGTGCCAATAATTATGACGCTACTGTACGATAAAAAAATAATATCCGTTGCACTGATGTCTGAACTTGAAATTACGTGGTACCCTAATGCAAAATCGGAATCGCTACTGTAGTTGCGGGGAAGGCCTGCCGAGAGATTTATCGCAAATAAATATTTGGGCTGCAATTCATTGCTTACTTAAAATTAGTTAATATCGGAATGCGATAAATTATATAAATTATATCACTTTTAAGTACGTTTTTACGTTTAGTACTGTATGTTTTCGTTACAATAAAATCACAATAGATAAGGGGGATAGTTGCAACACAAAATTATACGCGAATTAAATGTTCATACCGGTCAGTAAAAGATTCGTGCCCTTTTGACATCACGTCTATCAATAAATTAATTCTAAATTAGCATAATTATAAAATTCTATTAAGTTTTTTTACAACGTGATGACAAACGTTATTAAAGGTTGTGGTTCAAGGCTTTTGCGTCGTTAAACAGCTATTTTTTGCTAGTAAATGTGTAAGATTAATAAAATTATATGATTGTTATTTCGATGACATTATAAAATAATATTCTGTATATCCGTATGTCCTGCACAAAATATAGTTTCGGTAATTAAAGGTTTCGTGATATATAGATTAAATACGTCGTTTCACAACAGCGTTTCTTAAGACAGTTTTTGCCGCGCACCACCTCCTTGTGGAACCAGCTGCCCACTAAAGTATTTCCGAACCAATTCAACTTAGGGTCCTTCAAAAGAGCGTGCCAAGCCTTAAATGGCCGGCAACGTACTTGCGAGCGGCATTACTTAACGTCAGGTGAGCCTCCGCACCGTTTGCCTCCTATTACATAAAAAAAATGTACAGAAAAAAGGCAGTGCCAGGTCTTGGCAAGTAGATAGAAGTATATCAGTCTTCTGTGCTTACACGTCGACGTTTTAGGGTATGAGATATGCCGATTTGCCTCACGATGTTTTCCTACTCCATACGAGAGAGTATTTAATGCGAATTTAGACGGAGAAGTAAATTGGTGTTCGATTCTACCAAGGATAAGAGTTGCACGTTCAAGCCACTAGAGTCTAGACCATCACTGCTGCACAGAAAGTGATGTGACTACTTTAAAAAGGGTGTAAGAACCCTCAAAAGTACTCATTTCTGCACAGACTAGTATACCAACATTTGACAAGAGCCAATCAAGATTTGAGTTAAAAGTGGGGTAAAAATATTGCCCAAGCATAATAACGATGTATTATAACCTAAAAGCTGCCATAGAACGTTCTAAGAAAAGCTTAAATGGCTTTTACAGTCCTGTAAAATGTAAAATCAAAAATCGTGAAAAAAGAGGGGACAGAAATACTTCAAAAAGTAAACGATACGCAATTTTGTTTCTCAATAAAAAATGCTAGTATGTACAAAACGATTGTAGTTTTAATGTACAGGTTGTTATTTTTACAAATTCACTTCAATTTGATTAGCGCGTTCTTGTTGGACTAAAAAGCGAAATACCAAAAGTCTAACAAAAAAAAATTGTAAATTGCTTCAAAACATAATATAATATTATAAAATACTAGCTGACCCGGCAAAACGTTTTTTTGCCATGTATATTATTTGTAGGAAACATTTTTTCAGTTCAATATAAATAACTATCTACTATCCTAAATAAAATAAAAATATTTGGGTTGTATGTATATATGTACCATAAAAAAATAACAACAATTAAAAAAAATAATATAGATAGTAGCCGATTCTCAGACTTACTGAATATGCATACAAAATTTCGTAAGAATCGGTCTAGCCGTTTCGGATGAGTATAGGAACGGACATTGTGACACGAGAACTTTATATATTAGATGTCTCTACAATTTTAGTTACGTGTGATGGAATTGAAAAACGTTGATATGGAAAACGTTTTCCAGTAGTCTGGTTTACCGTTAC